TTAGCTGTCACATCTCCATAGTCCCCTCTGGTTGCGAACAGGTTTGCAGTCGATTATTTTTCATGATCTTGACCATTATGAAGAGGGTGCTGGGTATCCAGGCAACACCTGACAATCTGGGCTTATGTAATGTTTTGCTTGTGGCTCCAATGGGGTTAGGAGTTTTGGGGGGACATTCCCATCTGGTCACACCCAACTAATGGCTCCCCATGTTCACGCGGACATGGGATAGTGACTCACATCATGCAGTTCAGGTGTATTAGTTTTTCTCCACAAAATGCCTCGTGTTTCTTTCCCTCCTTTGTCCTGATCAGTCTAGCACAAAGTCAAAGATGGGGAGGTCACATTCCATCTCCTGGGGTGATGGGGTGAGTAAAGGTTTGGGTAGCGCCTGTAGTTGCAGGTTCAGTATGCTGGGTGTGCTGTGCAGTAGTTAGTGGTGGTAAGTTTAAGAGGCGGAGCCCAGTGGGAGGTCTTTGGATCACTGGAGGTGAGGCTGTAGGAGAGCAGCTCTTAGGGCAGTTATGAATGGAACAAACCTGGCTTCTCCTCCCTTTCCCATTCCTGGCTGGAGATGGACTGCTGAATGGACACAAGCCCCCAACAGTTAGCTGCCATCCACTACTGGCCCTCACCAGAACTGAGCCAATGCAACCTGCCCCTGAATTTCCAAAACAGAGTAAAATAACTCCCTTTCTTTGTAAATAGACTACGTTAGGCATTTTGTTAGAGTACTGAAAAGCTGCCAACATAGCTAAAAAAATAAGATATAAAATAAACATATTATTCTATAAATATATGTGTGCATGTGTGTGTGTACACTCACGTATGTGTAGGTATGCATGAACATGTGTTGGTGTAAGTGGAGACCAAGGTTGTTGAGTCAAACTAGAACAGAAGGGAATCAATCACACTTGTGTAGAGTTTCCAGTATCTCTCTGGGCTGGGCATACTGTCTCCCCAGCATCTACCCCGCCCCCTCATTCACTACCCCATCATCCAGATCACCGGGTTCACAGATGTTCACAGATGACAATGATTCTGAGATGCAAATGAGGTGCCAGGCACAGTGCTGGCCCACTGAATGCGTGACATTCACAGATAGCTGTGTCTGTAGCTTGTGAGACTGGAGCAAGTGTCCAGAGAGTGGTCTGCTGGGTCCTGGCTCCAGCATCAAACATGGAGAACAGACTATACACACTGCCTGCCTGGTGCAAGGCAGGGAGAGGGACCTGCTTTGGTTTGGACTTGCTTGTCCCTTCCCAGGGTTCATGTGTTGGAAACTGGTCTCCAGTGTGGTGATGTTATGAAGTATTGGGCTTTTAAGAGGTAGAGTCTACTGGGAAGTCTTTAGGTTATTGGGGCATGTCCTAGGAAGGAATTAAGTTAGTTCTTATGAGAGGATTATAATAAGGCTCCCTCCCTGTGGCATTGTGATGTCACCATGAGGGCGTTACCAGAGCAGAAAACCTCCAGAACTGTGAGTTTCATGAACCTCTTTTCTTTATAAAGTATCCAGCCTCAGATGTTTTTTCACAGTGCCAGGAAAAAGATGAACACAACGTGTTAGGACAGGCTCTGGTAGGGTGGGGTAGATGGCTGGCTGTAAAGGAAAGTTCTGAAAGAACAGCCAAAATGCAGTAGCTCTGTCCTCCCAACATAAACTCTAAGTTGGTCCCCGTAACCGCTGGTCCCTGTAAGGCAGCGGAGGTGCTCCTCACTGTGATGGGAAGCCTAGACAGGGTTTATGGGAAGAACTACAAATGGGATCCAGCCTCTCTCACCAGAATGTGACTATTTGGAAAGAGGGTCTTTGCAGATGGAACCAGAAGATGAGGTCACACAGGAGCAGGGGTGGGGGTTAATTCTAATTCAGTGTGACTGACACCCTTCCGAGAAGAGAAGACAGACAAGGAGGGAGGGAGGATGTCGCCTGCCCATCTATGACAGAGGCCAGGAGTTGGAGGCAGAGGAATGGCTGGCCATAACTAGAAGCTGGAAGAAGTTGTGCTGATACACTGAACTTGGACTTCTGGCCTCTGAAACCACGAAACATGTTCCTATTTGAGTCCTTCAGTTTATTGTACTCCAATTCAACAGCCTCAAGAATGAAATGTGGGGTCCATCCCAGGCATCTCCAAGTAGGGAAAGGAAGGCAGCGGCAGGGGGCGGGGTGTATTAGCCAGGAAGGTGCCCTGTGAGTGCCTGGAACATCCAAGCACCTGACACAGAGGAAGCTGGGTTTATCCATTGTCATGGCACTACCTGGAGGTGGATCCTGGGGTCTCCCAAGCAGGCCTAGGGGGCCCAGCAGTGCCAGAGAAGGACAGACTGCAGCAAGCTTTCCCAGAAGGAACTCGCCACCTTTCCAGGAAGAAACCCTATCCCATGGGACAGGGTCCTTCTCTGTTGGGGGGATCATTCTGTGTGTGTTGGGGGATCATCTCTGTGGGATTGTTCTCTGTGGGGAATCATTCTCTGTAGGGACTTCTTGGTGGCGGGGCGGGGGGAAGCATGAGATAGTTCTCTATGTAGGATTGTTCTCTGGCGGGGGGGGAGTCTTTCTCTGTGGATCTATCCTTCTCTGTGGGTAAGTTCTTCTCCATGGTGGTGGGGGGGGTGTACTCTAGGGAGGAATCATTCTCTGTATAGGGATGCTTCTCCATGGGGCATTGCCCTCTGTATGTGGGGGGATGATTCTCTGTGGTTATCCGTCTCTGTGTGTGGGGGATCATTCTCTGAAGTGAGAGAGTTCTCTATGGGGGGAATCTTTCTCTGTGTGTGAATTGTTCTTTGTGGGGGGATTAGTCTCTCTGTGTGGGGATTGTTCTCTGTGTATGAGGATCCTTTTCTATGGAGATCATTCTCTGTTGGAGGGATTGTTCTAAGTGGGGGATTGTTCTCTGTTTATGTGGATTGTTCTCTGTGGGGGTGGGATTGTACTCTGCGGGAAGGGGATTGTTCTCTATGGGTTGATCCTTCTCTGTGGCGAAGAGGAAGCATCCTGAAGTTCACCTGGCTTATGTATGAAGCAGTCCCAGGGGTCCCATGGAATCTAGGAGCTGGATTGTTCAAAATCTTTGGCTGATCCCTCTCCCACTGCTGGGGAGGGGTGCTAGAATGGGGACTTCTCAGTCATACAGGTGTGTATGGCGAGTCACAGAGTTGAGGGCAGAGGTGGCTTTGAAATGCTCACATCTAGAAATCCTCGGTGGCTTGGGAGGATGAAAGATCACTTGAGTCCAAGAGTTCAAGATAAGCCTGGACCACCTAGTGGAATCCCATATCAAAAAAACAACCCTTTGAAATTATAAATAATTTAGCTTTTGACCCTGTAATCCTACTTCTTGGACTTAGACTCCTCCTCCCCCAACTCCAGCTATAACTATAAAGGCATGAAAAGCACACATGTGCAACATCCCTCATGGCACCATAGCAGCCCAATGGGCAGGAGGCCACTCTAACATGTCTGTTTAAGGAACTGAGCAAACTGTGGGCAGCAACACAAGCAAATACTATGCTGCTCTACAAAAGAATAAGGATCGCTGCCTTGCCACACCAAGCTCTAGAATACGTTGTTAGGAGAAAAATGGATGGAAATGAACAGCATGTGTACGTGCTTCCCTGCGCCATAAGGAGAAAATAGAGAATTCTGCATGTATGTGTGGTGTGTGTATATATGTGTGTGCACGCATATGGAGAGTCTGGGTGTCCTCCACCTTATATATTGAGGCAGGGTCTCTCACTCGAACCCAGAGCTTGTCACTTTGGCTAGTCTAGCGAGCCAGCTTGCCCCAGGGATCCTCTGTCTCTGACTCTTGAGTGCTGGGATTATAGGCAGGCCACCACATCTTTGCACAGTCAGATGGGGCCTGAAACTCCTCACACTTTCAAAGTTAGCAATTTATACACTGAAGCATCTCGCTAGGCTAAGATACAGATCTGATTATGTATGTGTAGTCAATCCCACATATCTATGGGTTCAGCCTCCATTCAACTAAGCACAGGTCAAAAACTGCCAGAAAAGATATATATCTGTAGTAAACAGATCCTCTCTTGTGCCCATTCACTGAAAGGTACAGTACAAACTGTTTACACAGTACCAGTGCTCAATCAGACGGCGCATCATAATACAGAGACCAGGGGAAGATGAACAGATTCCATGCCAGGCATACCTATTCATTTTATATAGGGGATGTGGGCAGCCCTGGGTCATGGTGTCTCAGGGGCTCTGCAACCAATGGCTACTAAGGGATGACTGCATCTGTGTATATGAACAGAGGAAAGATAGGTCAAGGAACAGAAGTGCTAATGGACTAAAGCTGGGCCAGTGACTAAGGTAGAAGGAGGCAGGGCAGGGCATGTGTCTTCAGATCTGCTGCTGACATTTTTAAGACCAGGGCAAGTGGAGGCCACTTTCCAGCGCACATGTCGAGGCTAAATAAAATGAGCTCTATTCTTCCAATGTTCGTCAGCTGTGGCCCTTGACCATGGCCTACCCCCTCTTTTCGATAATGTGTTCAGGACAGGACCATACCTAAATTTGCATTTAAACACATGCCCAATGAGGGGGCCTGGAGAGATGACTCAGTATTAAGAGCACTGGCTGCTCTTGCAAAGGACTTGGGTTTGGTTCCCAGCACCCACATGGCAACTAATGACTGTTCCTAACTCCAGTTCCAGGTGATACAACGCCCTCTTCTGGCCTCCATGGGCGTTCATACGTGTGGTATATGTACACACATGAAGACAAAAGACTCACACATAAAATAAACAAAAACTTAAAAAGAAAATGCCCAAGGAACCACTGTAAAGTATCATCCATGTGCTGTCTAGACTTTCATAGCTCCAGGGCTTCCCCAAAGGCTACTGATCCACTGCCCAGGAACCTTCACAGGCCTGGGATTCACCTATCAACCAGCCCTCTTGGTTGTGGTTGGGCCTGCTCCCTCCCTGTGGTGCCTGGCCTGGTGGAATGTGGCTTCCACGGGGGCACTTACGTTGTAGAGGAGATCAGTCCAGCCTTCCATGGTGATGCACTGGAAAACTGTGAGCACAGCAAACAGGATGTTGTCGAACTGTGTGATCCCATTGTTGGGCCCTTCCCAGTATGGCTGACACTTGGTCCCATTGGGGCAGGTGCGAGCAGGCTCCTCTGTCCCACAGGGAGCTGGAGACTCACCCTGGATGTCGTCTAGGAATGGGAAAGAGGAATAAGGGGGAGAAGCAGAGAGACAAGGAGAAACAGACAGCAAGAGCTGGAGGAAATGGCTGCTGGGGTGGAACCATTAATCTTTTTTTTTTTTTTTTGGTCTTTTTGAGACAGGGTCTTCCTGTAGCCCCAGCTGTCCTGGATTCACTATGTAGACCAGGCTGGCCTTGAACTCACAGAGATCTACCTGCCTCTGCCTCCCGAGTGCTGGGACTAATGGCGTACGCCACCACACCCGGCTCATCAGTCTTTTTTTTTACAGATCAATGTTGGCTTTGTGGCTCTTTTGATTTATTATCAGCTTCACTAAAGTCTTAACTCTTGTTTGTCTCTTCTGTCTTATATGGCTTTAATTTTCTGGTTCTTAACCTGTTGGGATGAATTTACTTTCTTTACAAATTGTCTTTCAAGTGCAGCTTTGGCTGCGTCTCAGAAATGTCATGATTATTCATTATTGTGAAAATATTCCCCAATTTCCATTACTATTTCTCCTTTGACCTATGGGTAGCTAAAAGATTTCTCTGAAAAAATTTAAGAGAGAGAAATAGAATTTTCATGTACCCATCAAGAATTCTAGCATGAATGATTCTGGCCTGCCTTCTTTATGACTGTCCCTTCCACACACCCAGGCCTGCTCTCTGTTTTATATATGTATATGTATATGTATATGTATATGTATATGTATATATATTTTTAATGTGAATGTGTTGCCTGTATGTATGTAAGTGCACCCATGTTGTGCAATGCCCAAGCAGATCAGAAGAGAGCACTGGATACCCTAGAACTGGTTATGAATGGTTGTTAGCTGCCATGTGGGTGCTGGGAATCGAACCCAGGTCCTCTGCAAGAGCAGCCAGTGCTCTTAACTGCAGAGCCATCTTTCCAGCCCTGTTATATTCCTTTGAAAAATTTTATTTTATGAGCATAAGTGTTTTGCCTGCATGTATATTAAGTGCACCCATGTTGGAGACCTCTGTTATGCAAAGTAGAAGTCCCTTCACGACCGGACAGCTCATGCAGCTCGGGATCATGTGCTGAGGGCTCCTTTCATAGCAGGGTATCTTCCTGGCATCTTTCCTGACTCTCCTTTTGAAGTGTCCGCCACAAATGCCATAACATAAACGTGGCCTTTGGCTCTGAAAGGTACCATGCCTTACTGTAATTTCTCCAGGCAGACAGCAGTCTGGCAGAAACCCACTTCCATATGTAAATAGAATGCCTCATAAAGCATCTAACAGCCAAAGCTTTTACCACTACCCCCATGGTATAAGTATCCTAGTCTTCTCTTAATAGACAGAGAGCTGGGTCGCAGAGCTGCTGAATTACTGAGAGCAGAGACACTTAATAAAGCTGTAACACAGACTAAGCCAGTCTTGAGTTCTGTGCCTTACTACCAGCGACCTAGCCTCTCCGGGGGGCGCACTCCCCCGTGACCAACTTGCGGACATCCTAGCTTTCGCTGTCCTCATACTCTTCCCGTGGGGTTCAGTGGCCAGTGGACCTCGCATCCTGAGGAAAAGTACACGGGTGGAAAAGGGACAGGATCAGACTGGACAACACTCCAGTCGCAGAGAAGCTGTCAGCATCGGAGTGGCGGACAGCGGCCTATCTGCTGCTGCTCCCAGAGACGCCTGTGGCCAGAGCCGTGCTGCGACTCGCCAGGTGTGGCGGGGACCCCGAGATCCAGGGGTCCAGAGCGACCCCGAGATACCCGCGCACACCACGCCTATGGCCCATAGAGACACGGAGAAGCCCTCGGGACCAGACCTGCCTTCCTCCAGACGCACGGCGGGGGAGCCTGCGGATCCGCCGTGCCATTCAGGAGTGCGCCCAGAGAGCACGCGCACCATACACCCATGTTGTGCAATGCCGGCAGAGGACAGAAGAGGGTGTCAGATCCCTTGGAACTGGAGTTACGAACAGTTGCTAGTTGCCATATGGGTGCTGGGATTTGAACCCGGGTCTTTTGCAAAAGCAGCCAGTGCTCTTAACCATTGAGACATCTCTCCAGCCCTGACATTTTTCTTTTTTTTGGTCTTTTTGAGACAGGGTCTCCCTGAAGCCCCAGCTGTCCTGGAACTCACTATGTAGACCAGGCTGGCCTTTAACTCACAGAGATCTGACTGCCTCTGCCTCCTGAATGGTGGGATTAAAGGTGTGCACTACCATACTTGGCCCAACTGTTACATTCTTAAGGCGAATCTCCAAGATGTTATAATTTCATCCACAAGTAGTAGGTACGCCTCTTGGTTCCCAAATGCTTTTAGCATTTTCTTTCCAGGTTTGATTAGCAGCTGTGTTGCACTATGATCCAAGAATCCACTCTAGGAGTTTCCAATCTCCCAAGCTCTATTGAGATGTGCTCTTTGATCCACAGTATGAGCAAATCAGGGAGAACCGGGGCACAGCGTGGTGTGTCCTCGGTGTTTTTCTTCTTGACAAATATGGGGCTCAGGGAGTTTTCTGAGGACGAGAGATGCAAGCACTCACGGTTCCTACACTTGCCTGAGCTTTCTTCCCAAATACCAGGAGGCAGACTGTTAGCGGTTAGGAGGACTGTTCAGGTCACTCCTTACACTGTGACCCAAGAAAGCGTGCAGGAAAGGAGCAGGCAAGCTGACCAGGAAAGGTCACATCCAAATCCTTAGGTATTAAAGTGGTTAATGGGGAGGCATCAGAGCTTAGACTTGCAAACTATCCTCACTGGACCAGATCTGAGGGACCCAATGCAGAAGTGACATTTAAAGAAAATCTTATGTCCTTAATCCCAGCAATAGGGAGGCAGAAGCAGGCAGATATCTGTGAGTTCAAGGCTAACCTGGTTTACATAGCAAGTTCCAGGCCAGCCAGGGTCACAGAGCAAGACCCTGTCTCAAAAAAAAAAAATTAAGTTGGGTATGGTGGCACAAACCTTTAATCTTAGCACTCAGAAGGTGGAGGCAGGCAGCTCCCTGTGGGTTTGAGACCAGGTGGTCTACATAGTGAGTTCCAGGCCAGTCATGACTATATAGTGAGACAGAGTCTCCAAATTTTTTTTTTAAATTATGTTATTTGTTTATTGTGTGTGTGCATACACACACAAGCATATGTGCCACAGTATGTATGTCTGTGCATAGGTCTGAGGACAACTTGTAGGAACTGATTCTTTCCTTCCACTGTGTAGGTCCTGAGGATTATGAACTCAAGTTGTCAGGCTTGGCAGCAAGCACCTTTACTCACTGAGTCATCCTTTTTTTTTTTTTTTCGACACAGGGTCTTCCTCTCTTTAGCCCAGGCTGGCCAAAAAGTATATAGCCTCCTCTATCAACTATCTTCCTGCTTCAACCTCTCCAGGGCTGGGATGACTGGTATGTACTACTAAGCCTAGCTGAGTGACACTTGAGAAGGTTCAAAAACAGTGACATATTTGACAAACCAGCAGCCAAGTGTGTAAACTCAAGCTTCCCACTCAATAGAAATGTCTGTTCAGCTGGCTCTAAGTGTGTTCAGCTGGCTTCACTGAATCCACTGCACCTGCCATCCCGAGTGGTGCAGAGGGGGCGGTGCAGAGGGGTGTAAGCCATCTCTAGATGGGCCAGTCCTGCTGGCCTTCCACAATTCCATTAACAGAGTAGAGTGTGTTGGAAAAAGTAGCTCACTCCTGTCATCCCATCACACAGGAGGCAGGAGTATGGCTAGCTTCAGGTTAGCCTGGGCTAGGTAGTGAGATTCTCTTTCAAAGTAAAAGACCAAACCAACCAAAAAACAAGTGTAAAACTAAACCAGAGACAGAAAAACCAAGCGAAAACGGAGGGGGAAAAAAGTCATGCTTCTAGTTTGACTGGAAATGTCTTCCACGTGGATACTTGGCTTCTACTTAACAAATTTGGACTGGAAGGTGAATCTCTTAAACTTAAGGCTCAAGGCAGAAGGAAAAAAGCTGTACATGCTTCTATGGAGATGCTGTTGGCTGAGGCCACCTGCACCTCTAGAACCTTCTCTGTCCCCATCTCCAGTCCAAATCTGGCTCCATCTGCCCCTGTGCAGACCCTATTATGGTAACCTGATTAACCTGTTGTCCCTACTTCCTCAGGTCTCCAGCAGTCCCGATTTTCCTGTGTAGGGAGGCACAGGGACACAATCCTGCATCAGCCTTCCCGCCTAGAAGTGCCTGAGAGCCAGGATTCTCCAGGATTCTGGAAACTCTTAGAAAACAGGACGTGTCCCACTTTGTCTGGGAGTCTGTGGATGTACAGGATGGCAGTGGGTGGCAGGAAGTGGGGTCCCCGCCGGGAACCTCGACTGGGAACTGTCTATCTTTAGCAATGCCACCCAGAGGTGTGCTCGACCCCCTCAGCCCCAGCCGCCGACGCCAAGCGCCACCAGGGCTGATTCTAGAAACAGCCATCCAGAGATGGAGGACTTTGGCTATAAATACATTTTAAAATTAGCCTGCTGCTGGGGCGTCTGTGTGTATCTGTCTCTTACTCACATCTTGATTCTTAATTGGGAGCTTTTCAGGTTGCCTGTGAATCCAGGCAGTGGCTCCACCTACATCTGTCCCCCCATGGCCCCATTTGGAGGGAGTCAGCCCTGAAACACTCCAGAAATCACATAAGCCTAAAACCCTAATTCCTAACTCCATGCTTTCCTAAGTTTGTGGCTGATTCCTCCCTCTCCCCCTTCTTCCTCCCTCTCTCTCTCCTTCCCTCCCTCCCTCTCTCCCTCCTTCTTCCCTTCCTCTCCCTCTCTCTGTGTTCTGCCTGGGTGAGGCCAGGTGCAGAAATAGACCTGCCTCAATTAACACCTTCTTTATTGGAGAGAGAAATAATTAGGGCATTCCATGTTGAGCAAACTTCATGAGCCCTGGAGAGAAGACTGCAGTTCAGTCTTCAGGACAAGCTGCTCAGAAGCTCCCTCTGTTGATTATTTGGGGTCACTGGCTGGAAACCACCAATCTCTCTGGCAATCTTGCCATGCACTGCCCAGGGTTTCATTTTCCCTCTTGTCAGGCAGTGTAGCCTGGTTGTGCTGGGGCAGGTGCCCAAGTACTGAAACACTGGCACCCTCACTTGTTTGAGTCTCTAATTGTGGGGCATCAGGCAGCTGGAGTTGGGGGCACCTCAGGGTTTAATTGGAAATTCATCTTGCAAGGCCTGGGTTGTCAGGTGAGTGTGGCATGAGTCATCTCCATGCCTGGTCAGCCTTAAGCCCCGTGCACAGCTCCAGAAGGCTCCCGCTGGACCCAGATCACAGCTCTTTCTCAACTTGGCCACCCAAGGATTAACTGGAGCTGGATGGGATGTAGGGTTCCAATTGGAAAGGGCAGGACCTGCCAGGTGCTGGGTTCTGATTGGATGAGGCAGGACCTGACAGATGCTGGGTTCTAACTAGATGAGGCAGGACCTGACAGATGCTGGGTTCTAACTAGATGAGGCAGGATCCTGTCAGAGGCTAGGTTCTGACTGGATGAGGCAGGCTCCTGTCATAGGCTGGGCTCCAATTCGGCAGGGCAGGGCCTTCCCATTGCTTGTAATCCACGTCTCTTGCCCTGTGCTCCAGCTATTAGTGGAAGTGCGCCCTACGTTGTCTCCAGAGGCTCCATAGGAGCTGCTCAAGACACCAGGATGGCCTTTCTCTGTCTCCCAAGGATACTTCAGGGCCAAGGATGCTTTAGGGCTCACTCCCAAACTTGTCCTCAGGTTGCCTTCTGGGGACCCCAACCCAGCACTGTAGGCACAATCAAGGTATCAGGGCAATTCAGCATGTAGTCTTTCCTGCAGGCGGTTTTGCCAAGGTAGGATAGACCAGTACCTCAAGCATGCTCGGCAAAAGCTCTACCCCCGAGCTACACCCTCAGCCCCCCACTGGGGGATTCTAGGCAGGAGCTCTACCACTGAGCCACACCACCAGCCCTTACAGGCCATTTTGAAAGTGGGTTCCCCAGCTGCCAGGGAAGAGGGGCATGGCCCCCAAGCCTATCCTTTCTGGAGCTTGTCTCCTGAGGGAAAACCCCGGGAAAAAACTCACATCTTGCTTCTTGGACCTACCTGTCCCCTCTTCAAAGCAGGTGGTATGAAATTTTCCCATATAAAATTCTAACCCTATGATTGCAAAAATAAGGATTGCAAAAAACAGGAGGAGGCCGATCTGCAGCAGAGGGATCATCGCCTTCATGATTGACTTCAGGACGACTTGTAAACCTGGAGAGACAGGGGGGGCACAGCCCGTGAGCAAGCATATCCCCCTCCCAGTCAAGATGCCTGCCCATGGAACCCAGTTATGGCAAAGACAGATGGTAACAAATGCCCCCAAAAGGCCTTTTCAATTTTAAAATAGTTTAAAAAAGTATTTATTACCTGCCGTGTCTTTTGAGGAGTTTTAAGGAACCAAAGTGGCAGCTAGCTATATCCATGGTTTTTCAGTCATCTTCTGGGATGACAGGCAGCTTCCTCCCAGAAGGGGACAAAGTTTTCTCCAATGGTCCCCAGCCAAGAGATCCCCATCCTCTCCTAATTCCCTGTAGGCTACTGGAATTCTATGTAGACCAGCGGCCAACATCCCAGCTCTCAAATCAAGAAACCAAACTCTCCATCATCTCATAAGCTTGTAGCCCATGGTCTGACCCTGACTTTCTATCCTCCACTGCTTCTCTGTTCTGAGTACTCAACTGAAGATAATACTGAACGAGGGGGGATGGTTCCCATAGGGACACGGTGGGGTGGATGCCACTGCATGTGCAACAATGGGATGTAGAGGGATCAGGTGCAATGCCCCAGGCAAGTCCTTGTCCTGATGAAGTTACCAGCCAGTCTTCCCCTTCCCAAATGCTGGACCCACACTGGCTGATGGTTCAGTGACAGCATCAATCTTTTTCAAGGGAGGAAGAGGTTAAAACAACAATACTTACATTTTCATCCCATATGAAAAGTCCCACAATTCCAGACTTAAAAAATTATTATACTCTATAAAATATTAGTTACTTTAAACGTAAAATGAGGATAATGCCATATTTTACAGCACTATTTTAGGAACTGAAATTAATAAGAACTATAGGCTGATATCAATAATATCAGTACTTAGGAGGAAAAGGCAGGCAATTCACTGGGAGCTCAAGGCCAGCTTGGGTTACAAAGTGAGATCCTGTCTTAAAACTAAAAACAATTAGGGTTGGTATGACTCTGACAGGCCTGGCCCTATCTCTCCATCAATAATTGCATCTATGTTGTAGGGCATGGTATCCAGCCCTATACCCAGACTCTGACCACAACTGATAGAAGTAGGAGAAGTAGAAAAGGAATTTCTGATATAAGTAGAAAGTACCTCTGCCACCCTCCCCCCTTTTTTTCAAACTAAAACATTTTCACTGAAGTCAGCTCTGTATCACGATTTGCTCAAAAGTCCATCCTTTGTCATTTACAATGTACTTTCACCTTAGTCCTTAGTGGGTTTTGTTCTTCTGTGTTTTCTTTTTTGAGGCAGGGTCTCCCTGTAGTCCCAGCTGGCCTGAAAAGGCAAGAAACTGTTATAGCATTCCTTGAATTTTAAAATTGTGGTGGGCTCACAAGATGGGTCAGTGGGTAAAGCACTTGCTACACAAGCTTGACAACCAGAGTTCAAGCTGCAGGAATCATATAAAGGTAAAAGGAGAAAACTGTCCTCTGACCTCCACATGTGTGTCATACCTCACACACACATGTGTGCATGCGTGCACACACACATAGTAATAAGAGCTGGGTATGGTGGTGCACACTTTTAGTCCCAGCATTTGGGAGGCAGAGGAAGGCAGATCTCAAAGTGAGTTCAGGGCCAGCCTGGTGTACATAGTGAGTTTCAGGACTGTAGCTGGAGATATAGGGAAACCCGGTCTAAAAAAGACAAAAAAAAGTGGGGTGTATTTGTATAGAATCTACATACATTCTCCTGTATAATTTAAACAATCTTCATGTAACTTCCAATACCCAACACAATGTAAATGCTTTGCACATAGTTGTTAGACTCTGCTGTTCAGGAGTTAGAAAAAGAAAGTAGCATGTGTTCAGTACAGAGCTGTTTATCCATGAATATACTGCTGAATGTGTGGGTAGAGATGCACTAGGAAAGTCCACAGTTAAAATTAAGGTTTGGCTGGGCGCGGTGGCGCACGCCTTTAATCCCAGCCTCGGGAGGCAGAGGCAGGCAGATCTCTATGAGATCCAGGCCAGCCTGGTCTACATAGTGAGTTCCTGGCCAGCTGGGGCTTCAGGGAGACCCTGTCTTAAAACAAAACCAAACCCCCCAAAAAACAACAACAAAAAAGGAAAGACAAAAAAAAAATAGTAAGGTTCCTATGGATAGTTTAGCACTTTGCTCTCCCCTGCTCCCAGACAGGGTCTTGCTATGTAGCCCAGATTGGTTTCAAACTTGTAATCTTCCTGCTTCAGCTGCCCAAGTGCTGGGATCGCAAGCATGCTTCTTATCAGAACACCTTCTGGGTCACAGAAAGGGGGAGCCCCTCAAGGTGGCCCAAAGGTGGGAGCAGAGGCAGAGGAAGTGGTTCAACCTTAAGCAGCATGATGCAGCAGCAGAGGAGGGGAAGAGCTAGGGTGCGGCAGAGGCAGGGCACCAGTGGCAGCTCCCCAGGGCCTGCTTTAGCACATCCTCCCAGCACTGTCTTGGCTGCACCAGGCTCCCTGCTGTCGCTCTTTTTTTTTTGCAGAATTGTCCTTGGTTACCGAGGCACACAGGAGGCCAGCCTCCCTGCCTCGAGGTTTGCATCCATCCCACAGCTCTGCACAGGTCTGGTGGGGATCTGGACTACAACTGAGTCCACCCTTGCTCAGCTCTTTCTCTTTCATGTTGGGGCTCCTGAACTCTCAGGGAGACAGCTCTGATAACGAGGCAGTGCTCAGGTGCAGGTGAATACCCGCCTAGCTCACTGCTTCTGGGGACCCCAAGCAGGTGGTATACTACCTCCTAGGATGTGACCTTAGACAAGCGTGGCTACCATAACCCCACCTCTGTAAGTGGAGGCTGCACTAGGGCTGGTTTGGTTTCCTGGGTTAAAGGCTTACTCCACAAGGTGGCACTGTTGAAGCATTAAAGGGTGAGGCTTCCTGGGTGGTCGTTAGGTGAAGGGGGCTTGTCACTGAAGGGACCACGAGGACCCTGGCTCTTTTCTCTGCTCTTTTTCCTGGTTCATGAGAAAGAGAGTGATTTTGTTTTTGTTTTATTGTTGCTTTGAAAACTTATTATTTTTTTAAAAGCAACAGGCCGAGGACCATTGCTAGAACCTCCAAAACTCAACAAAACAAACATCTCTTCTTTAAATTTCTTTATTACGTTTCTTTATGTGTGTTTGGGGGGGGGGTACATGTGCCACAGCACACACGTGCAGATCAGAGGACAGTTTGTAGTTCTTTCTTACAACCACATGGGTCCTGGGGATTGAGCTCTGGCCATCAGGCTTGGTGGCAAGCACTTGATGCATTGAGCCATTTCCCTCGCTCCCATTTCCTCTTTATCTTTTTTTTTTTTTCATTCTTTTTTTTTTTTGAGACAGGGTCCCCCTGCAGCCTTAGCTGACCTGGAACTCACTATGTAGACCAGGCTGGCCTTGACCTTGCAGAGATCTGCCTGCTGCCTCCCGAGTGCTGGGATTAAAGGCCTGCACCACCACGCCTGGCCCATTTCCTTTTTATAAGCTAGTTATCTTGGGTGTTTTGTGATAGTAACAGAAAATTAACACTGGCAAAGTACCTGGCCTGTCCTACTCAACAGCGACTCTTGCTAGTATTAGCTTTCCACCTACTCTTCATTTAATGGGATACAAGTACTTGCTGGGATTGTAGAGCCTGGGGGGGATTCCTTCTTCCTGTAATATGAACATGCTGGGGGTGGGGCACAGCTGAGAAATCTCTTTATTTAATTTTTTTAATTTAATTTTCTTATGGTGCTGGGATGGAAGCAAGGCCTTGCCCCTGTGAGGCATGCACTCTACACGGAGTAGCATCCCCAACCTTACCCAAGAAATCCCAAGTCCTTAAATCTAGGTGGGAGTGACTGACCCTGAACAGTGGGGTCAATGTTTTGAACACAGTGATGGTAACAGAACTGTTCTGGAGATAAACTGAACTCAAAATGTGCAATACACAGAGAGCTTGCCTGGGACAGTCAGCACATAGACATTCATTTGTATGTGCATGCATGTGTGTGGGCATGTGGAGACCAGAGGATGACACTGGGTGTCTTCCTCTCACTTTCCACGCTAGTTTTTGAGACAGGGTCTCTCATTTAACCTGGAGCTTACCAATACGGCTACACCAGCTGGCCAGTGAGCTCCATGGAGTCCTCTGTCTCCACTTCCCCAGTGCTAGGAGTACAGGCATGTGCCACTACACCCAGCTTTTTTTTTTTTTTTAAACAAGTGATCCAAACTCAGGTCTTCATGTTTGTGTGCAAGCACTTTACTGCCTGAGCCATCTCCCCTGCCATCCAAGAGCAAACACTTCCTTGCTTGATTACATGTCTTGTTCATGGGACCTGACCCAACCCAACCAAAGTTTGGCCACTCTGACCCTCAGAGTGGAAACCCTTTGTAAGATGGAAAGATCAGCACAGTTTATGATATCACAGGTTGTGGGTACTGAAGGAGGTCCATGCTCATATGACAATGGCTCCTGGTAGACAGCAGCTGTTCAGTAAATGGGTGGCTCCTGGTAGATAGGTGTTTTGATAATGGGTGAGGCTTGTGGTTTGCTTCCTGGGAATCACCTAGACCGGCAGCCTGGTTCCTGGAAGCCTCCCCAAGGAGAAGCCTGCTCTGGTGGGAGTGGGGACCCCTGAGCAGAGCCCCCAGAAGGGTGGGAGACTCACGCACTTGGGATTCCAGACACTAGCTTGAGTGGTCGCAGTACACGAACTGCCCTCAGTGTCCGCAGGTCAAACTCCGTCCCAACAGTGGCCAAGATCCTGCAAGACAGAACAACAGTGGGAAATGGAAGCTGGGGTGACAGACAGATAGGTGGGTGCACGGGATTAAGTAGTCCTTCACTGGGGATCAGACATTGCCAGGTCTCAGTTGTGACCTGTCCAGTGACAGTAATGGCTCCTGCCTTAAGGATGAGATGTGACTCACACTAACTTTCTTTTTCCTTTTGTGTGTAAGTGGCATACAAGTGTGCATGTGTTCGTGTGTGTGTGTGTAATGCATGTATGTGTGTTTGACATGCCTGTGTGTGACATGCCTGTGTGTGTGACATGTCCGTGTGACGTGCCTGTGTGTGACATGCCTGTGTGTGTGACATGCCTGTGTGACATGCATGTGTGTGACATGCATGTGTGAGGCCAGCACAGCTCGATGTTAGTGTCTTCCTCAGTTACCTTCCACCTCATATTTTTGAGACAAGGTCTCTCACTTAACTAGGTGCTCACTGGTTTGGCTAGACTGGCAGGCCAGCAAGCTCACTGGATCCTTCCATCTCACTGGGATTACTGGCCTGTGCCACTGCTTCTGGTTTTAACATGGTGCTTGGGATCTGAACTCAGGTCCTCATGTTTGTGTGGTAGGCACTTTACCCAATGATTCATCTCTTCAGCCCATTTATGTGGTTAAGACACGGTTTCACTATGTAGCCCAGGCTGGCATGGACCACATGATCCTCTAGCCTTAGCCTCCTAAGTGCTGGACTGCAGAGGTATTTATCACCAGACTAGGCAAGAGGTGGTCAATAAAGATTCAAAATGTGTTAATGTTCCAAACATGCTGAGAGGGGTGGAGAGATGAAGTGTCCCATGGCACATGGATGGAATGGCTTCCAATGGATTTCACAGGTCAAAAGTAGAGTGAACTGTGAGGAGCTCCGGGGCACTGGTGGACGGGCCAGGGCAAGTGAAGACCCTTTCAGGCTTGGGCTTCTTTACCAACCAGCAGGAAAGCAGTTCCATACTACAAGCCCAGCTTGGATATGGTAGCTCTTGCTTGTCATCCCAATACTCCAGAGACAGGAGAGTCATGAGTTCAAGGCCAGTTTGAACAACATGAGAGGATGGAGAGACGGTGTGCTGGATAGCTTTAGTGTCAACTTCACACACACACCTGGCTTGAGGGAGCCACAATTCGGGAATTGCCTCTATTGGACTGGCCTGTGGCCATGTCTGAGGGGCATCTTCTTGATGAGTGATGTGGGAGGGCCCAGCCCACTGTGGGTGGTGCATAAGAAAGCAGGCTGAGCAGGGGCCAGGGGAGCAAGCCAGTAAGCAGCATTCCTCCATGGCCCGTGCTCCAGCTCCTGCTTCTAGGTTCTTGCCCTGAGTTCCTACCTTAGGCTCCCTGATGAACTGCAACCTGGGAGATGTAAGCTGAATAAACCCTTTCCTCTCCAAGTTGGTATTGGTCAGAGTATTTTGTCACAGCAATGGAGAACAAACTACGACAGATGGTTCAGTCAGTAAAGTGCTAGCTGTGCAAACATGAAGACCTGAATCTGATTCCTAGAACCTATGTAAAAGTGGGCGTGGCGGTACATACCTATAATACCAGCACTGGGGAGGTGGAGATAGGCTCGCTGGCCAGTCAGCCTAGCTGATCAATCAGCTCCAGGTTCAGTGACTCTGTCTCAAAAAGTAAGGTGGAGGGGCTAGCAAGATGGTGCAGCAGATAGAGACACTTCCTGCCATATCTGATGACCTGAGTTTGATTTTGGGATCCACATAGCGGAGGGTGAAAACTGAGTCCTGCAAGTTGTCCTCTGACTGCCACAGGCGTACTGTGGTACACGCTTTGAGCAAAGACATCTGATGTCAAAATCTGGCCTCCACAAGCATGCACACATATTAAACACACACCTTCACAGAAGTGCACACACATTTAAGTGCACCTTTTGTAGACACGATGGATGTGTTCTCAGAGACAGCTGTGCAGATGCCAGCTTTGAGAAATACACAGTGGATCATATTAACTAGCCTGGGGCCCCAGGAGGGCTCTAGTGAAAGTGGGGGTCTCAGATGAGGAGACTGATATGATCAAGCTGGGACAGTCTGCAACAGACTGGGGAGCAGAACTCAAGTTCAAGGACAGAGATTGAACTGTAAGTAGGTGTGGGTAGAGAGAGGTGAGAGGAAGTGGGGCCATGGCAGTCAAGGATTACTTTCCTCTTTCCCCACTATGGCCTTTCTTTGTATTTGATAAACACATAAGTATAAACATACATACTGTAACCTGAAGTTCCTCCATCAGACCACTATGACGCAAGCTATTGTCCTGCCTCCTTCCCATGCTCTGCAGAAGGAGTCAAGCAGGTGGAAGCCCATCACCTCTCCTACCCAATCAGCTGACCTTAGCTACATGAAGGGGAGGAGCCACTGCCACATTGAGCACGGGGGAATGGAGAGGTGAACGGAGAGGTGAACGACAAGGTGGGGCACACGAAAAGCTGGGAGACATGGGGGCAGGACACGCTGATGATGGTGTTTCATGCCTTTGTCAGTCACCCCCTCCCGGATGTCATAAACGATGCAAAACCCAAATAGAAGATATTCTGTCAGTTTGTCAGCCCTGGGACCGCAGAAGGCACAGGCGTTTGGGTCTCCCAAGAAGGGGGAGGAGAAAATATGGCAATATATATTTGTGTGTATATACATATTTAAAGATAGTAGTAACACAGTGCAGCTCAGGCTACTCTAGAATTCACTGTGTAGCCCAGTCTGTCTTGAATTCACAGAAATCCTTCTGCCTCAGCCTCCCAAGTGTGGGATTACAAGCTTGAGCAACCACATCTGACTTTTCATCTATTTTGTTTTTTTTTAATTTTTATTTTTATGTGTATACGTGTATTGCCTGCATGTAGGTAAGTGCACTCGTGTCGTGTAATGCCTGTGGAGGACAGAAGAGGCTGTCGGATCCCCTGGGACTGGAGTTACGGACAGTTGTTAGCTGCCATGTGGGTGCTGGGATTCGAACCCGGGTCTTCTGCAAGAACAACCAGTGTTCTTAACCGCTGAGCCATCTCTCTAGCCCTTATCTATGTGTTTTATCTTTAGACAAGTAGATATCTGTGTGTGTACAAACATACAATTTTTTGAGACAGTGTCTTAATCATACAGCCTTAGTTGGCCTGGCACATGCCTTATACTGACTACTGGATCACCACAGCTCCTGGCTCCTAGTGACTCTGCAGTATGCACTGGGTTTCCTCAGTCTCCACATGACAGGCACTGTTCTCCTTCCCAACCTCACCTTCTTCTTTCTGTACAGATAGAAGCTTTCATTTACAATGCGCACAACAAGCCACGGGTCCCTGTGTGTAGTGGAGGCTGAGAAACTAATAAACACATCAGATGCCAGAGTGATGTGTGCTGAGGAGAAAGACACAGGAGAGACAGGCACACTGAGGACAGGGTGGGGACAGTAGTGGCATTTACTGCAGTACAAAAAAATTATTCTTTGTTACTTTGGAGGGAAGTTTAGTGTTTGGGTTAGAGGTGTGGCTCAGCAGTGGAACACCTGCCTAGAATCCCCAAGTGAGGGGTTGGGGGCATGGCTCAGTGGTAGAGCTCCTGCTTAGAATCTTCAGTGAGGGGCTGGGGATGTGGCTCAGTGGTACAGCTCTTGCTTAGAATCTTCAGTGAGGGGCTGGGGATGTGTCTCAGTGGTACAGCTCCTGCTTAGAATCTTCAGTGAGGGGCTGGGGACGTGGCTCAGTGGTACAGCACCTGCTTAGAATCTTCAGTGAGGGGCTGGGGATGTGGCTCAGTGGTAAAGCTCCTGCCTAGAATCCTCAAGGAGCTAGGGGTGTGGCTCAGTGGTAGAGCCCCTGCCTAGACTCTCCCAGGGAGGGGTTGGGGCATGGCTCAATGGTAGAACTTTTGTCTAGCATGCAAAAGGCCCTGCCCAAGGTGGATTGAGAAAGAGAAAAGAAAGGGAGAGGGCGTGAGAGAAAAAGAGGGAGATAACGGACTAGCACTGCTCAGTACAAATCTAGAGTTGAAAAGGAAAATTTAACTTTTCCATATTAAACAAGTACAAAGAAATTAGGGAAATTAATTCTAATAATACAGCTCTCCTCAGTTATTTGCAGTACAGCTATGCTCTGCCAGACACATTTAGGTTGACCCAGGCCAGGACAGTCACAGAAGTTCACGTGCTTTCTAATGAAACAGATTCTGCTTCAGGCAGGGTCTCACGCTGTAGCCTAGGCTGGCCTGGAACTCACTCTGTACCCAGGTTGGCCCTTGAACTGGTGGCAATCCTCCTGCCTAACCTCCTGAGTACGAGGATAACAGGCATGAACCACCTAGCTGCACACATTCTACCTCTAGTCCCAAAATATTATTTTATAATTATTAGTTGTAGTGCTGGGGATGGAAGCCAAGACCTTGGGCATGCTGGGCAAACACCCTACTATCAAGCCACATCTTCAACTCTTGTCTCTTTCAGATAGGCTCTCACTTAGCCTAGGCTAGCCCCCAACTTGTGATCTTCCTGCCTCAGTGTCCCAGGTAATGGGTCACAGATAGTCCTCATCACACCCTGCCTCAGCTCAGAACCTTCCATGGCTTCCACCTTCCTTGGAACACAAACCAAAGTCAGCCTCATTAATCTCCACAGTCCCAACAGGGGCCTCAGCTGCCTCCAGCCTCTCTCTTTCAGGATTCTGCCCCAACCACACCAAAGTAGAGTTCAAGGCCAACCTGGACTTTAGAACAAGACCCTGAATCAAAACAAACTAAGGAGCTGGGTGTGGTGGCACAAACTTTTAATCATAGCCCTTGGGAGGCAGAGGCAAAGAGATCTCTGTGAGATCGAGGCCAGCCTATATAGTGGGTTTCAGGCCAGCTGGGGCAACAGGAGGACCGGACCGGACCGGACCAGACCAGACCAGACCAGACCAGACCAGACCACCCCACCCCAAAGCAAAAAAAATTCAGGAGTCTCAGAGTAGGATGGGTGGCTGGTGATCAGAGTGAGGCAA